AAGAGCCAAGTGGACAGGGTCAGTGCCTGAGCCTGGAAGGGGGGTGCAGCAGCAGACAGTCACTCCTGGGGGCGGGGGAAGGTCGAGGCCATTGGCCCAGCAGCCACTTCATTCCTAACAGGTGAGCAGAGAGTCAGGAGCAAGATACACCCAGGGATGGGCCCAGGTCCAAGAAAGAACGGCAGGGGAGCCAGGGGCGCTGACACTGCACCCCCCCCAGCCTGTTTCCAGACCCCTTCACCACCCACCAGTGAATCCACTCAGCTCTCATCACTCAGAGGGAAGAACTTCTTAGAAACGTGTACTGCAGCATTCCTCCCCCCACCTCCACAGCAGCACCTCTGGTAACCCAGCCCTCTTCATCTCACACACACCTCTGGACGGCACTTGAACAGGGGGCAGTCACTCACATACACATAAGCCATTTTTGAAAGTGTCCGTTTGCACGTGTCAGACTCTGTGCTGTTTCTGTCTCGTAGGCTCATCCGAAACTTGAGAGATGGTGAACGAATACAAGAAAATTGTCCTGCTGGTGGGGCTAGAGACCATTAAGGATTATGAATTTAGATTGATTAAGTCCTTATTGGCCAAAGACTTAAAACTGACTAGAAATATGCAAGATGATTATGACAGAATTAAGATTGCTGACTTGATGGAAGAGAAGTTCCACAGAGATGCTGGGCTGGGAAAACTGATCACACTCTGCAAAGACATTCCGGCACTTGCAGAACTCGCGGAAACTCTTAAAATTCGGAGGTTGAAAGGTAACCAGGAGGCACCCCTGGCTCCCATCCTTTCTGYCCCCACCTTCCCCAAAATTGACTAGAGCCCTGACTTGCTCACAGTTGATACATCCCAAGTCAAAACCTCAGTTACCATAGCAATCATGGTTCTTGAGATGCCAACCATTTGACAACTTAGAGAACTCCTTTACAACCGAGTGCATTTTGGTTAGTGAAGTATGTCTTTTGAGGGTAGAAACGAAGAAAAAAATCAGGAAAAGCCATTGAGAGACTAGGGCTTCAAATACTTTATATAAGAAAATGAACAGTAAAATTAGAAAAAAAAATGTGCATTTCAAAAATATTTAAATCACAGCTGGTGATATAACTTAGTTGGTAGAGTGCTTGTCTTGCATGCACAAAGCCCTGGGTTCAATCCCCAGCACCATACACACCAACACAAAAATATTTAAATCAATTATTATTACTGCTCTATTAGAATACTTGCTTCATCATTAATATCTTCTCTGGCAACAAAAATAAAAGAATGTTTAATAAAAGCATGCCTCTCTGTGATGTGAAGAACTTCCCTCTTATCAAGGGTTTAAAAACCACTTGCAAAAACTCAAAGTCCAATATCACTTCTTTATCATGTGACAAAACAGATGATAATTTCTTCCTCTATTTTCTCCAATTTGGAGGAATCTTCTACAAAGATGACCTCTCCTTAACATCATGTACAGTGTAGAAGCTTATGAGGCAAATGTACAATAAGAGGGTTAGGAAAGGGATTGACAGAGGTCCCTGGGAGTCCCCGGGATAGGAAGGCTGTGCTCACTGCACACAGGAAGGGTAAGGAAACCGCYGAGGGACAGGCTGGGCCTGGGTGGCTTCTGCCAGGCTGACCTGATGGGCTAGAGGTGGACGCCCACAGTCAGACACAAAAGCAGGAGCAGAGAGGAAACAGAGAGGAGACTGCGTCCACTGTCTTCACCCAGGAACCCCGGTTTATTGTGCTGTCTTTCTTTTTATTGATTTTATTATTTTTAAAAAATACACGACAACAGTGGAATGCATCACAATCCTTACTACACAAATAGAGCACAATTTTTTGTATCTCTCTATATAAAGTATGTTCACACCAATTTATGCCATTATACATGTATTTTTTTGCATTACAATTCTTAATACACATATATACCACATATCTCTGTATATAAGGTATTTTCAAGTCTTCATACAT